TTATGCATTATTATTTGTACATTTGTCCAAAAGCAGTCAAAATTACTTCCTTGGGCAATCTAGTGTTAATTAATTCAGAATTATCATCAATTGCACTTTCTAATTATTATTGTCTTATTAGTTATTATGCTTTGTCATTATTTTTATGTAAAGGTTCACACAATCTTAATTAAATAGAACGTGGAATATGACGCACCTTGGGTACCCTTCGAAGCATTCGTACAATTGTTGAGCATCGCTGTCTCGTCTCCTGTTCGGATCATTGTTAAAAAGTGCGAGTGATTTTTCCAAAGCGAGAAATTCGCTCTCGTCGATCCAAATCGGATGCAATTTTCCCTTTACCGATTGTTTCGTTTCGTTGCTCTGTGCGCCGATGTCGCCCAGCCGTTTCCAGGACTCAATTTTCCGTGCAAATTCTTCGTGCAATTGCGTCTTCCTCTCATCGTTGAGGATCTCCCCACCGAATTCGAAATTAGCGCGGGACGAACCGGTCGTCTCTTTATTATTTCTATAGTCGGTCTTCGACGGGGATCTCCATAATTGCCAATCGGTCAAACGCCGACGACCGATCCTCTGTTGCTCGAACGGCGCGCTTCCTCGACGCATTTTCTTCGCACGCTTCCAATCCTGCAGCTTTTTGCGAAATTCAGGCGTCAGCTTCTCCTCGGGCAGCAGACTGTCCCGGGGAACAGACAGATTGAAGGAGGTCTCCTTTGTACCAGGTCGGGGAGACGAATTTTTCAGTCTCTCCCATTCGATCAGTTTCTGTTCGAATTCCGTTCCGAATGTCTTTTCTCGAAGGGCACGGTAGTCCTGACGCGCGTCGCTTTGCGCGTTCTTTTCCGTGTTCTCATCGCAATTACTGTTCGCCGACGATTCCGGACCTGACGGATCATAGGAGAATAAAATGTGATTCGCATTCAGTATAAAAAATAAAATGTATTCGATAGTACAGATGCAGAGGAACGAAGGTTTGTCCATGAGCCTAACGAAGACGAACTGAGCATAAAACGAGTGACGACGATATAAATGTATAATAACAGCTCGTTAATCCTGCTACGCAAGGTGTGGATATGATCCATGGAAGCACTCATAAGACCTTTCCTGGTTCACGAAAAACAATTATAGGGTTTCCTTTTTCATGCAATTTTTTGCCAAAAGTTTGCTGTTTCGACAATAGGGCGAGTGGATTTTGTCAGTACTCACAAAATGCTGATTAATCGTACTTAACTCGTTAAATATCGAAGTTAGAAGAAAAACAACTTTTATTTAAAATATTTTTCGATATTTTGAGAAAAAAATTTTTTTTTATTTTTCTGAGA